GACCTGAACAGCCAATTAGGTGAATTCATGACTTGACTTTTGTTTTGGATAATTATGTAAGTGTATTTACCCTCCTGTTTACAAATCAATAAAACCTAGATGGTACCCTCTTGCACACTTCCTAGGGATAATCATCTGAAAAACAGGAATTACAACTCTGAAACTGCCAAGCTTGCTTAATACTGTATTGACATGCATTCCTTGTTACTAATTAATTTTATGAAACAATTATTTTTTTTAGAAATGGAAAATTTCCCACAGAAAAATAAACCACTAAAAAATTTTCCGTGGAAAATTTTCTGCCCTACATCCCTGATTGGAAGATAGTGTTTGTTCTTTTTTCTTTTCTTGAAAGTGCAGATTAAACATTTACGTGGCTTGTTTCTGCGTTGAGCAGTTGGTTGGAATAGATGACAGATGACTTCCTGAGCTCCCTTCCAGCTTTATTTTTGTTTATGATTTTGTTGTAGCTGGTGCTAAGGATAACCATCAGTAAAATTTCCTGAATTCTCCATGAAATTCCCTGATGGATAATATAGAAGGATATACAAAATGTTAATATATATGGATATACTTTATTTATTCTTCCTTGTTTCAACCCTGTTTAGGAAGGGCCTTTGAGACCTGTACTAGAATGTATTGACCTTGTCAGTAGTGAAGATGAAGAGCCTAGCAGCAGTGCCAGCATTCATGTGAGTATGTTATAAAGTGTTTTTTGGAATTATCATCTGAAATAGTACTTCTCTAAATGCCCTTGTTTTATGTCTCTTATGTAGATTCTTCACAGTTCTGACTTGCCATTACAGTAAAAATAAAAGATGTGTAAAGTGTTTAGCAGTCACAGCTATCTTTTTATTGTTACTAAAGAAAAGTATTGGGGATAATCTCTTCTTCTCTTCCCCTACCCCCACCCCCAAATAAAACCTAAAACCCTCTTACAGACAGTTAAATAGTACATTACATTACTTTCATAGCTGGTGCTACTGTATGTTCCTTCACTGGATGAAAATGTATTCACAGTAGCACCAGCTGCAATATTTCCCTCCTATTGGTGCTTGGGCCAGGTCCCAAAAGGGATTTTAAATGGAGTTGGGGCACTTGTTCAGAATTGCAATTCATAAAGTACTCATTCAGTGCCTTCTAATGTGCAAGTATGTGAACATTCAGATCAAACAGGAAGGTGCCTTGTAAGTTCCTGTAGACTTGGAGTTTCATTTTAGACTGAAAAAGATCTGGGCAGATCAGAAGAACAGGGTTGCTGATCTCCTGCTTTCCTGAGATCTGGAAACTAGAAATCTTCTTGGTTCCAATCTGGTTGGCGAGCTCAGAGCATACTCCATGCATACCAATAGGATTCTTTCCCATCTCTTAACAAAATGCAGTAATGACTGTTTGAGTTGTGGAATACAGCAGGAGAAGGAGGTGGCCCTGTGGCCCCATCTTTTATATAACAGCATGGCATTCATTCTAAAAGTGGGAGACTTGGTTTCAAAGTCCATCTGAGCCCAAGAAGGCTCAAACCCACCTTTCTTGCTTTCCAGGATCAGTGTCCAAACTAGTTGAGGTATGTGTCCTACTAAAGCTGTCGACAGACAGACAGACTTTGTGGACTAGTGATTATGATGCTGGCTGCAGGGGTGGGGGGAGTACCGAGTTCCATCTCCAGCTGCGAGGCTTGTGTAAAATAGCCTTTTCTTGACCCTGTGGTGGTTTTTTGTTTTGGTTTTTTCACTATATGGCAATTATGAAATTAACTTTTTTTTCTTTTAATTATAGAGAAAAGTAAAACGTAAAGATCACATTGACTATCAGAAAGAAAGGGTTGCTTCAACCCTAGCTCGCCTAGCACGCCATGTGGAAGTAGAGATACAGCAGAAAGAAGAGAAAAACAAAGCTTTCAAGGTACAGCAGATATTTTAAGAGACGTTCTGTGCCTTGTACTTGTTTCCCTCATTAAATAATAAAAAGCTTGAGGCTTAAAAGTGGATAATAAACTTTTCAAATATAACACAGTCTGGTAATGTCCAAAAGTCCTTGTGGGTTCTTCAGCCTAATGAATTCTAGTTTCAGCTTAATTTTTAGAGAGCAGATACCAACTTCATGAAGTCCAGGGGCATCATCTCGTACACTTGTTCATATGCTTAGCAGAGATCTGGGTATCTGTTGTGCCAGTCATCTTGTATGGAATGGACAAAATATTGAATAATAGTTTATTGCCATCTTTAGATCGCTCCAATAGATTTTTTTTGCCTAGGTTTGCATGCTGTAATTGAAGATCTCAAGGGGTATAGATTTGTTGCTTTATCAATATTTCTGATAACTAAACTGGACTAGACTTTTCTTAATTTGAGATGTTTTAAAGTAAAGTCTGTAGTGCAATAACTTGAAAGGCATATAACTTGTTACAGTAGCTTTAAAATATACTTTAAACACATTACAACCCTCCCCTCTTCCCCACCAATAAAACCTTCTGAAAAATCTTTGTCCTAGACTAAACTTTATACTTTCCTGTATAGTGTGTGGAATGTCAATAACAATGAGGGATCCTAGCCTTCTCTAATTTTAAAAAAATCCTCACTTTTTAGATTTAAAGAAGTAACCCCAAATCCACATTTTTTCCATGATTAAAATGAAATGCCAGTAATATGCAGATAGATATATAGTGGTGTTTCATTTTAATCATGGAAAATGTGGATTTGGGGTTACTTCTCTAAATCCGAAAAGTGAGGATTTTTTTATCAGAGAAAACCAGGATCTCATCATAACTTTCTGTGGCGTAAACACCCATACAGTCCAATGGGTTGCCAACTGGTTAGAGAGTCGCACCCAGAGGGTGGTAGTGGATGGGTCCTTCTTGACCTGGAAGGACGTGGGAAGTGGGGTCCCACAGGGCTCGGTCCTTGGGCCCGCCCTGTTCAACATCTTCATCAGTGATTTGGATGAGGGGGTGCAAAGCACCCTGTTCAAGTTTGCTGATGACACTAAGATGTGGGGGGATGTGGGCACAATAGAGGGGAGCAACAGGCTACAGTTGGACCTAGACAGGTTACAAGGATGGGCGGAGGAGAACAGGATGGGGTTTAACACAGACAAGTGTAAGGTGATGCACCTGGGGAGGAACAATCGGCACCATACATACAGGCTGGGGAACTCCCCTCTTGTCAGCACGGAGGTGGAAAAGGATCTGGGAGTCATTATTGACTCCAAGATGAACATGAGTCGGCAATGTGGGGAGGCGGCTAGGAAGGCCAACTGCACCTTGTCGTGCATCCACAGATGCATCTCGAGCAGGTCCAAGGAGGTGATCCTCCCCCTCTATGCGGCACTGGTCAGGCCGCAGCTGGAGTACTGCGTCCAGTTCTGGGCGCCGCACTTTAAGAGGGATGTGGACAGCATGGAGAGGGTCCAGAGGAGGGCCACTCGTATGATCAAGGGACAGCAGGGTAGGTCCTATGAGGAAAGGTTGCGGGACCTGAACCTGTTCAGCCTTCAAAAGAGAAGGCTGAGGGGGGATCTTGTGGCCTGTTATAAACTGGTTAGGGGGGATCAGCAGGCGCTGGGGGAGTCCCTGTTCCCCCGAGCGCCGCAAGGAGTGACCAGGAACAATGGTCACAAGCTGGCAGAGGGAAGGTTTAAGTTGGACATCAGGAGGCGCTACTTCACGGTCAGGGCGGCTAGGGTCTGGAACCAGCTTCCAAGTGAGGTGGTGCAGGCTCCCACCCTGGGGGTTTTTAAGAGGAGGTTGGATGACCACCTTGCTGGGGTTGTTTGACCCCAGGACTCTTTCCTGCCATGGCAGGGGGTGGGACTAGATGATCTGCTCAGGTCCCTTCCGACCCTAGAAACTATGAAACTATAAACCATAGAACTATTGTAATTGAGGATGGGAAAAGGTATAAGTTGCCATGAAATGTTGGACCCTGGTATCCTAGGTTCTAGTCCTTTTTCCAGACAAACTCTTGCAAGTCCCTCCTTCCACTTTTGTTGTCTTGTAGAACAGAGGCAGAAGTGATTTACCTAGCTTTTGTAAGGTAGTATGTGAGCTGTGGATAACAATTGTTATTTTAATGTTGAATATGGTTCTGCTGCTCAGCTGCTCTCATCACTAGTAGATTAATGCCACTCACCTGTGAATTTAGATGTGTTTCAGTGTAGCAGTATCAAGCTCATCCTTTAACTTCTGCTTTGGTAGTAGAACTTGTTGATAGATTAGCTTTTGCCCCTCATTTTGTTTAGTAACTCTTAATTTTTCTTTATTTCTGTGCGGTAGTGACTTTATTTCAGCATCTGGCACTTCCTAGCTCCTGAGGTGAGGAATCACCAGCATATTAAAGCTTTATATTGTTTTTAATATTAAACACAAACTCCTCTTTTTTTACAACAGCCTGTTTTGCATGGATTTATTGTCCTGTCTTAGCAAGCGATGCCCTTTAAGTGCTGTACCAAATCTAGAATATGTTATAGGGAAACTTTTCAGGAGTCTCTGAGGCTGACCTATGCTCTGAAGCCATAAGGTGGTGACTCCTACAATAGCTGGGTTTTGAGTTGGATAAGCATGCAGAGTGCTGAGCTGTGATTCCACCACAAGGAAACTGTCAAGTCCATGAGAATTCCTGTGGAGACTGCACAAGTTACCTTCTTGCCAGAAGGTAGAAAAATCCAGCAAACTACAGATACTTTGTCCCACAAAAACAAATCACATGTTCCCTGGCAGTCACTTGTGTAATTAATAAACTAGAGGGGCAAAATTGGGCTTTAAATCCTTTCTCCTTTGTTTGGGTGTGGGAAAGAGTCTATCAGCAGACTCTTTTGGAAAATAAATTGAAAGCAAAAAACATTCTGGAAATAGTTGATTTTAATGAAAGCTCATTTAGGAGGAAAATGTAGTGGAGCATCTTGATAAAGCTTTGAATTTGAATCTGTTGAATTCCAACTTTTTAAAGTGTTTAGTTTTTCATTTTGAAGCTATTAGTTAAAATTTGCATTTGTGTAAGGCTCCATTTTTCATTTTGTGGAACTTCATTTGTGGGATATATTTTAAGCTTTTTGTTTTCAGTTTTGGAAAAGAAGACAAACTTGTGAAATTTCCTGCAAAGCAGACTTAGGTCTGCCTGTTACTCTTTTGTCACCCTGCCTCAGGCTGCAGTATAATATAAATGAAGTCTTACTTATTTTCAGTCCATTGCCCCTTGCTACACCAGAAGAAGAGCTCAGAATCTGAAAGACAGAAGAGGGACTCTTTTCACCCATGCTGCTTCTGGAGTCTTTTTTTCTCATTGGAGCTCAAGGAGTATTTCAGAAAGTGTAGGATAGAAGTGGGCAATTATTTTGGCTACTGGGCCACTTAATGAGTTGGCCTACTGGGCCACTTAGTGAGCTGTCAAGGCCTGTGTGCAAAATCTTTTAGAAGATACTGTTTTCACTTATAGATTTAAAAAAAACACATACTAAAATTGCTTACTGTAACATTTTAATTTTATTTTAAAAAATATTTTTTGTTTTGACTTATGGATTTTTGAGGTGTGTGTGTGTATAGAGGTGATTTGCATAATAGCTCAAAATAAAGTCTTAGGTTGTTTACAGACCTCAAACTCCCCCTCCTACCTCCCCCCCCCTCCCCCCAGCCCTTTAAGCTTGGCATGCTCCCATGCTGAGCTCAGCACATGCCCAGAAGAGGCATTGCATTAGTTGGACCCGGCTTGCCCAACTTCTGTATAGATCAGCTGCTTCGGCGAGGCTTTTTTGTTACTCTTATCTAATAGCTGATTGAGTCAGCTTTACATAAAAATGCCAAAAAGCCCCACTGAAGTGCCCAGTATGTGCAGACGTTGTGGAGGTAAATCAAACTAGCTGCAGCCAGGCAGCTCCTGCCCCAGCGTGTCGGGCTGCAGCTGCCGGCTGTATTCTACTCACTCGGGTCCCCGTAGAAGGCTGCTCACAGTGCCAGGCAGGCAGAGTGGACGGAAGGCAGCTGGAGCCCCATATGCTGGGGCAGGAGTTGCCTGGCTGCAGCTCCTCCCAGCCCCTTTGTTACTCCTGGGATTCCTTTTGCCAGAGCCCTTCAAGGAATGACAGGGCAACTTGTCCGATGTCGTATTGAGTTAATTTTAATAGTAACTCCTAGACAATATTATAGGTTTTCTCCCCATAATATGACCTGGCAAGTGGCTCCTTACTGGGGATACCAGGCCTCTCGGGTCCTCCACTGGGTGTGTGGGATGTTAGTTTCTTGCTCCCTGCTGTTTGAGCAGGGACCCAGGAGCTGCATCTGTCCTCCCGGGGCAGGCGTGGGCGAAATACAGCCCCCAAGGCCATTCAATCCAGCCCATGAGGCCCCTAAAAAAATTTAGAAAATTAATATTCATCTACCCTTGGTTCCTCTCCAAAATGACAGGAGCCAGGGGCAGTAGGACCCAGGGGAAGCCCTGGTGGGCTCCTGCAATAGCCCCCCTTCCCCCCCCAGCTGGAAGCCCCAGCAGGGGCTTCTGGCCTGGGATCCTGTGGCTACCCTGCACCAGAAACTCAGGTAAGTGGGGTGAGGGGAAAGACAGGGGAGGACCCTGGGGCAAAGCTGGGTGGGGGGGAAGTGGCCCCTTCGCTGCCCTGTGGCCAGTGCTCCCTGCTGCAGCTGCTTGCAGCCTGCGAGGGGCTGCCCTGAGCAGGCACAGGCAGCCCCACGTGGGCTGCAAGCGGCTGCAGTGCAGGGTGCTGGCCACAGGGTGGGTGAGGGCCTGCTTTTCCTGTGCTTAGCACCAGCTTGTAACCCACCCCCGCTGCTAGCCGGGGCCCTGTGCCATCTCCAGGCTTGCCTGTTGGGGATGTGTGCAGCAGCTGCGGCCCCCCACTTGCCATGCTGGGCAGCGTTTGCCACCACTGCCTCTGTGCTGACCAGGGCGCGAGCT